AACACCCAAAATGGGGGTTGAAATTATAAAAAAAACCCAAGCACTATTTAAACATATAAACACACCCAAAACCCATCATTACACACACTGGCGGATCTAGTAAGGTGCAAGGAGGTGCAGCTGCACCTCCCCTCGTCCGAAAAATCATTGTAGGTGCTTCAAATTGCCCCTTTACTCAAGTGGTGTATAGATTACCTTATTTCCATTTTCAACATTCAAGTAAATGTCTTTGTCCTTTACTTTTATTTATTTTTATATTACTCCATTTACTTAAGTTTACAATGTAAATAAGGAAGTACCCCCCATTTGGATTCAAATAAAAATACTAGAAAATCAAATTTCCACCAAATCAAAATATGAAAATTCGGTTTTAGTGCAAAATACGATTTAGGCTAAAAATGATGGCTCATTAAGTCAATATATACTTCATACTAAAATCCCATAAAATCAAGTTTTCTTATTTGATGTATAAGGAATAAAAGCCGCCAAAAATTATCTTGAGAAAATGATTATTCCGAAAAACCATTTTTCATACTTAGTTAATATTGCACCTCCGCTAAAAAATTTCTAGGTCCGCCAGTGATTACACACACTCAAAACCCATTTATAAACACACCCAAAAAGTTGACTTTGGGGTTGATTTTGGGTGTGTTTCTATGTTTAAATAGTGCTTGGGTTTTTTTATAAATACATGTCTAGGATTGGGTTTATTTATAAATTTGTATAATTGTAATTGTTTCTCGAGTTTTTCTTTCCCCCCTCCTCCTCTCTGCTTCCTTTCTGCTACCCTTAAAACCCAAACGTTTTCTCTCTGAGTTTTGAATTTGAAATCATAACCAAGGAAAAAACTACGGAAAAAAAGTATACGACTTACTTCATGTACTAGGAGGTATTTATAGAAACTTTTGGTGACAAAACCGAGGACGTGATTAAAGTTTGTTGAAAGTCCGGGCAAATAGTGAATTCTCAGAGAAACTACGGGCCCGTTTGGTATCTTATTAAACTCAAAATAATTATTGAGTCCAAAGCCCATAGCTCTCTCTCTCTCTCTCTCTCTCTCTCTCTCTCTCTCTCTCTCTCTCTCTTATGTAGAGTCTGAAGCACAAATTGAAATTGCATTCAATTTCTCCACTTTTTTTTTTTTTTTGTTAATTTCAATTTGAAAATTTAGGGTTTTTATTTTTATTTTTATAATTTTAATTTCAAAACCAAATAAATTTTTAGATCTTAAAATCAGTATTTGAGAACTCGTGTTTTTAAAAAACAGAATTATGATTCTTTAGTTCACTTTTTTTAGTAGGATACCAAACATGCCCTCCATGTAGCACTTACAATTTTTATAAACCAATTGAAACACTTATGACATTGTAACTAAAGTTTCTCTAAGAAGGCTAACAGGGTCTAACCAAGTGAAAAAAGCTCTTGACTTGTAGACTAGAGGTTTAAGATTCGAACCCCCGTGACATCTTAGTTGTGTGTGTGTGTGTATGAGAAACTTCCTCTCTTGTAGTTTAGACTATAATTTGTTTGAAGAAAAAAAAAGTTTCACTGAGAGGTGTTGAGAGAAATTTTTTGTGACAAAACCTAGGGCTAATTAAGGGAATGATTTCCCCACTCCTATTTTATCCACTTACACTCCTTTTTGAGTTGTAAAAAAGGAGTGTAAGTGGATAAAATAGGAGAAAAAGGAGTGGGGAAATCACCACTCCTAATTAAAGTTTGTTGAAGTTCAGACAAATCTGTCATTGATTTTCATGTGAAAGCCAGAGAAACTGCACTGAGGATTAGCAGATTCTGAAAGCCAATTGAAACGCTTACAACACGTCGTAATACAGAATAGATGCCATTCCATATGATCAAATCATGTAAATAATTAATTATTATTTTTTAATAGAAATAGATAATTCTGAATTTAACCAGTGCAATTCCTTCATGAAAACATATTAGTTTGTAAACTTGGTCTGAGGTGAGATTTATAGGCCCAATCATTGTACCAATAGCAATACATTTTAATCACCAAAACGTTTTCCAAATCTTAATCATTATATATATGATGACAGATGAAAAGGAAGGCAGGCTAACTTGTTGGCACTTTCCATGCCATGCTTGATACTGCTTGGACATATATGACCTTCAAGTTCTGGGTGAAGTATAAGAACAGAACATAAAGCACTCAACCTAGAATCTCTCCATCATCTCCGATTTGAGCCATTACCTACCAGAAGTTCTGGCTGTGAAAAAATGGACGGCTCGTGATGTCGACTAAAATGGAATAATTTTCTCATCTGTAGTTTCTTCCGAAAGGTACATCTATAATGTCCCAGCCTGAATGGCCTTCTTGTTCATCTTGTGTGTGTCGGGTTAGGTAGAACTTCAGTACAAATTATTAGGTAAAAATGATTCTGGACCAACATTAGCGTGGATCATGTAGGATGGTCTTTTCCGTATTGATTGACAATGAAAAAACAACAAAGAAGGGTCCCTTTAATGGGTTCTGTTACTTGCATCAAAAGATACAAAACCTTCACCTTTTCTTGTGGTCCCTTCTTTCTCCCACCTTATGGGGGTTGTTCTTGCTGTTTGCACCAAGTAAGTAGTCGGTGCATGATTATGAATGCGTCACAATTCCTTGTGAATCATGAAAGTAGACACTATAAGAATCTTTCACCAGAAAAGAAAGGTAAAAAAAAAAGGGGAATACACGAGTGCTTTATATTTTTTGGACGAACAAAACAAGAGTGCTTTAAATGCCTTTATTGCATGGGTGGCGATCAACCGACCTTTCTGGATTTAATCAATTTTAAGCTGATTTTTACGATTCATTTATTGAAAAATGCCATTCTTAGGTTTCAAGTAAAATGATGTCATTCACATGGGGCTGCTTTTCGGACAGATTGGATCGGAGTTAGAATCCCCTATTCAAACATGCACAACAATTTGAAAGGTTAAAATTGGCTCAAGATTGAAAAATCATATGAAAAGCTCGAAAAACTATATAGAATTCTAAAATTACGGAATTTAGATTTCCATCATTTAAATTTCTGACAATTAAAGATTTCAGTGTTTGGATTTATGTATGCCGAATTTTGTAAATGACATAATTTTGTAGAAGGCAATATGAAAATTGTGAAATGATGCCTATGTTGGTGGAAATTAAACTCGGAAATCTGATGTCCCAATTTCGACTATTTTTTCAGCACGTCATTTAATAAATTTCACACTTAAGTTGCCAAATAAGAGAATTGTCAATTTCTCTAATTAAATTCCCAATTTTTAGCTAAATTCTGAGTGTTTTTTCCCTCATCCAAATGGAGGGTTATATGTTGTTATCCTTTATTAAATTTCTTGTTTGTCTATTTGGTCATTAAGTCATATTTTGTTCTAAAAAAAAAAAAAGTCATGTTTTGTTTAACATGAAATTAGTCATTATTTCTAAGCTTGAACCCTCAATACATTTCAGAAGTTTTTGGAATCTTGAGATGCATTCTAATTCCAATCCAATTTTTTTTTCAAAATTTTCGGATTTCGGAATTGATTTGAACTCGCCAAAAGCAAAGGATAAGAATCGGAATTTTCAATCAAACTTGCACCCCTACATTCGCATCTCCAAATCACGAAATTGTTATGTCTATTCCTGATGTTGGAAGAAGTTTCAAATTCAAAATGATTCCAAAAATAATAGTTTAAAGAAAAAAAAAAAAAAAAACTTATTTCCAAGTCTCTGGACATGTATCCGAACCCTCTCACTTGATGAGTGAGAAAGAAAAAATAGAAAGTAGGAGATATCCCTGCGTCTGTAAGTTATTCTCTTCCAATTCAAGTTGGGAAACACTGCTCGGATCCAGGGTACTGCCACCATGGCACTGCTATTGTTGACCTTTCGTTTTCTTCTTCCTTTTTTTCGCCTTTAATTAATGTCATAAGAGGATAAGATTGTCAATAGCGTTAATTTAAAAATGCTATGAAAATATCAGAGTCCATGTAAAGGATACTGTATTTTATGTGAGTCATGTAGTTTTTACTCTGACATATCTATTTTGTATTGTTTTTCTGTCAATTTGTCAATCATTTTGGTTTTTTTTTAAACCCTTGTTAGGCAACTTAAATTATCGTTCAAATTAATTTTCAGTTTGCTTCTAAGCACAAAAAGTTATTCATTCACTTTCAAGTTTCAACGCTGATAATGAGATTATTGTCAACCTAACCTTACATTTTCGTTTGTAATTTCAATTAAATAACATTTCAACTCAAGACTTCAACAATCTCACCTATTAAAAATATTTGAACTTGAGAAAAAGAAGAAGAATGGATCGTGTAGCTCCAGTGGTAATGAGCAATTATCTCTATATTCAAGGTCATGTGTTCGAATCCCCACTCACTCAATATTTGAATCAGGTTTACATTTAAACACTGGTCAAAACTTAGTCTTTGTTTTTTATTTTACATTTTTACGAATGACTCATGTGTTTACTTCACATGAAGGAATGAAAATTTAAGTAGGGCGGAATTCAATTTTTTGAAGGAATTAAACTCTTGAGTGAGAATTGGTATTTTAATTCCTGAATAACTAACCCACTAAGAATCTATCTTTTTTACCATTATATCCTCACATAATTTTTCAAATTTCAAATTTATCTTCCAATTTAACATAATGAGGACATTTTAGTAATCTAACTAGTTTCAATTCCAATTCATGCTAATTTGATAAAATTAAGCTGACCTCTTCACAATGGGTGGCGTAGGAAGACTCGGGTGGTTCGTTTTTTCGCTGCACCCACAAAAAATTAGAAAAAGCAAAGAAAACAAAAATTACGTCATAATTCGAATTATCATATTTTTTATGTGATTATCTTGTCGGCCAACCCCACTGTTACCTTTAAAAACGATAAATTAAACCCCCTCGATCCCTGAAATGGCTCCACGTGTCCATCGATTTTCAAACTCTCTCCTTAATCATCCCCGTGACATTATCCTTTCCCTCCATCCCACAACCCCTTCGTCTTCTTTAATTCTCTCTCTCTCTCTCTCTCTCCCCTTCTCTTTGCATCCGTCCGCTTTCAGAGTTTGTTGAGCAAAAGGTGGAGTATAACCTCAGCCTATCCTCTGATTCAAGCAAATTCTTGTTTTGTAGGGTTAGGGTTTCCTCATATTCTCACCAGTTCCCGATTCCCAATTGATCCCAAAAATTTCATCCATCCTCGATCGATCGCACCCTGGTCTTTCTCATTTTCCGATCGTCTCCCTTTTCGCAAATTATGGTCGGGATTTCTCCCATGGTTTTTATTTCCACTATTTCCAATTCAAATTTTCTCCCGATCCTTTCTTCATCTCACTGTTGTAGAAACTATAGGTCTTCTCGCTTATAATTTTATTTGGTAAATAGAGGAATAAACAAGTTAGGATTTTTTTTATGGCGCTTTTTGTGTAAATGGTCCTTTGTATGTAGATATTGTTAAAATTTTAAGATTTTCTGTTAAATTTGTGTTGTAATTGTGATTGTTTTTGTTTCGGGATTCAACCGAGGCTATGTATATTGAGGAATTGAAAGTAGGGGAAGTTGGAGGTGTGGAAGAAGGGAATTCATGCCCTGGAAATAACGATTTTGGTAGCAGAAGCATCGTTGGTTCGGATGCCAAACGGGTTTTGATCGGCGCTGGGGCTCGTGCGCTGTTTTACCCGACTCTGCTTTACAATGTCATCAGGAATAAGCTTCAGGCTGAGTTTCGGTGGTGGGACAAGGTCGATGAGGTAAAAAAATCATTTTATCAAGCTCGTTTGTGTAGTACACATATCATTTTATCAAGCTCTTTTATTTATTTTATAAATGTGGGTGTTTATCCTTTTTCTGCAGCTATGATTTAATATGCGAATTTTGTTTTGTTTTTATATTTGTTAATTGTAGATGTAAATGAGATGCAGCTGATTATATTTAAATGAAAGAAATTTGTTTATGTTTATTCTACATGTGGCCTTGTTATGTGCCTGATTCAGTTCTCTTTTGATTATTGTGAGTTGTGCTATTCCTTAGACTTGTCAGGTTAAGTTTGTGTAGTTTTACATCAGAGTTTATGTGCTTGAACTCTTGGACTTTATGATCCTGAATCAATTTCTTGTTTAAATTCTAACACTTCAATTTTCAGTTTGTATTGTTAGGTGCAGTTCCATTCCCTACTGATGTGCCCCGCTTAAAGGAAGTTGGAGTTTGTGGAGTCATCACACTTAATGAGCCATATGAGACTTTGGTTCCAACGTCTCTTTATCATGTTAGTGGTTTTCTAGATTTGTAATTTCAGATTTTGCTTGGTTATGGAGATAAACTGATACATTTTTCTTTTAAATGAAATGTTGTTGCTGCTCAGAGTTTTTTGGTACTTAATGAGCCATATGAGACTTTGGTTCCAACGTCTCTTTATCATGTTAGTGGTTTTCTAGATTTGTATTTTCAGATTTTGCTTGGTTTTGGAGATAAACTGATACATTTTTCTTTTAAATGAAATGTTATTGCTGCCCAGAGTTTTTTTGTATTTTATTTTCATGTAATATTTAGGGCCTGTGGGGAAATGCCTTGATAAGTGCTAAAAACACTTTCTGATAGCCAAAAGCGTTTTTGGAAACATTTGGCAGAAAAGGTTACAAGTGCTTCTAGGTTATAGAACCAATTTTTAGTAGTTTATGTGCTTCTTCAGGAAGTTATGCAAGTGCATTTTCAGGAAGCACTTGGGTTTTTTAAAAGTAAAACTTCACGTTTGGCAGAAAAGGTTACAAGTTCTTCTAGTTTATAGAAGCAGTTTTTAGTGTGTATGTGCTTCCTCATGAAGTGCTTTGCAAGTGCATTTTCAGGAAGGACTTGGTTTTTTAGTAAAAGTTTTGCTGTGCTTCTCAGTAGAAGAAGTATTTCCAAAATGCCATAGGCATCTGACAGCATTACCTGGTGCTTTGCCATACTTTTGTATGTATTAATATGTGAATGCTCTGGATTAAAGTTGACTTTGTGAATGTCCGTACTTGGGATAAAACTTCGGGATTTTGTTTTTGTTTTTACCATTTTTTTGGGCTCTAATCTAACCATTAAACTTTTGGCAGTATCACGGAATTAACCATCTGGTGATTCCTACAAGAGATTACTGCTTTGCACCATCACTGAGTGATACATGTCGTGCTGTAGACTTCATTCATGGTAATCATTTTTGCATCCTTGATTTAATTATATTGATTAGCATCTGATATTGCATGATTTAGCAAAACACGGCTCTAGGTACTTAGGATATTCTGTCTGTGACTGGATACACTCATCCAGTTACTTTCTGATATGCAAGGGTGTTGTGACGCTGCCCTTCTGGATTTTTCCAGTGTAACTAAATTTGGATTGTTGAATATTCTGGACCATCTACTGCTCATGTTTATTAAATAAAAAATAAAAAATAAGGCGAAATTTTAGAATCTTGAAGAGATATTTCTGTTGAAATCTGTGTCATGTTTTTTGAAAGCAGTTGCTTCTTCAGTAAGGGGTGTTGTGTTGAGTCATTATATTTCTACCTGTATTTACTGGGATGTAAACTTTGTTAGTTTCCTTTAAATGTTCAATTCCAACTTCTTAAGTATGGTTGTTTTTTCTCCCCAGAAGACTATTATTTGTTGATATGATTTTTCCTTTTTTGTCATGAAGAAAATGCATCTTGTGGACAGACAACATATGTTCACTGTAAAGCTGGACGAGGGCGTAGTACGACCATTGTTATCTGTTACCTGGTTAGTATTGAACTCTGAAAATAACAAATTACTTGAAGATTGCCACCTTTTCTGATCTTTTGTCTTTATATAGGTCCATCACAAGCAGATGACACCTGATTCTGCCTATGAATATCTGAAGTCAATTCGTCCAAGGGTGCTTTTAGCCCCTTCTCAGTGGCAGGTAACTTACACATTCTCCCTGCTGTTTGGCTGGTCCTGCTATTTCGTGTTTGAAACTCTGGAAGTTTTGTTCATTTTCCTTTTTTGTGGGAATTTTGGTGTTTTCTTTTGTAGGTGTTTTTTAGGTGATTCTAATTGAACTCCACATTGTTGCTTAAGAAATTTGCAAAATTATTGTACAGATTATGAATCCTATTTAACCATTTGAAAATTTTATTCTTTGAGAAACGTACGTCTTCTCCCCCCTTTTTTTGTCCCTTCCCTCTCCGAACTTTGACAAGGGCAAAATTTGGGTGGAAATGGTTTTTGACATTTTGGTGTATTGAGCGCAACATTGGATGTGAATGGAGATATACTTTCGTTTCTTTTTCATTTGACATTGTAGTATCACTTTTTCTCCACATTAATATCATTGTGTATAAACTGATGCTTAAAGAGATCTTAGGAGCTTCTTCGTAATCCATATTGGGAGATTGTATGTTGTGGATCAGTTTGCTTATAATTCGTTAAACTATATTTTTGTTTGTCTGTGGCATGATCTAACTCTATTCTTCAATTTGACTTTTACTCTTTTCCTGAGCTCTTCTTTGACGGTTGCTTTGCAGGCTGTACAGGAATACTACTATATAATGGTGAAGAAAGCTGTTGTTTACAGCCACATGACCAATCTAATGATTCGATCCCTGCAGTCTGTTTCCTCACAGGATCTAGTTCCATTCGACGAAGGCTCTGTAGTAGTGATAACTGAATCAGATCTTGAAGGATATGATGCAAATCACCAGTCAGGTGCTGTGGGAAGTGAGATATGGGCAGACTTAAGTGTTGTCTATCGGGTTCGAGTAGCCGGTCAGGCAGCTCTGGAAAGAATCTCATGTCTCGATGAGGGCTGATCATATGGGAAGCATTAATGTGGACATACAAGTCTACTAAGGAAAACCTCATTAGAATGCATATAAGATGTTTGCTAAGCGTTCTTTTATACTTTCTCTCGTACAGAAATTGGAAAATAATGTTACATTAGGCAGCACTAAACTGTGTTTTTCCTCCTGTAATTTGAGTCCGCTACTTTATCTTGAGTCGAAATGAAAGAAAGTTGAGCATTATGGTAATGATGCATAAAATAAAGTGGTTATATATGGAGTACGTATAATTTAGTGATTATTGAGTGAGCTGGTAGGAAAGAACCTTGGAAAAGTCATTCAGAACCTGCATGGTTTGTTGTCAAGTTCAAAATGCTGACTAAGAGTCACTCTATTCTCTTGTGAGAGTAAGATGGTGCAGAGATGTTGATCCCCAATTCATTTTAGCTGCCTAAACAAAGCTGTCATACACATTTACTTCTTTGCCATAGGTTGGAGTTGGCCAATTGTATGAACAAAACAACTGGTGTGGCCACAAAACGCTTATCAAGAAAAGTTTCTGTGCATATGGAAAATGGACACCATTGCAGTATCACAATTTGGTTTGCAATTTATTCAAATCAGTATATTCCAAATAGGGTTTTTTCTATTTAAACCCCCCACTTTTCTTTGTTCACCCCAATACTTAAATCATTAACCTCTTTATTATTATTATTATTTTGGACGAATCATTAAGCTCTTTATTATTGTGCAAAAAGACAAAAAATGCTCGTTAGAAATAGATAAAATTCAGAGTGAGCTCAAACTTAAATAAATTTAACCTTTTCAGTGTCACATCATCTGGTCAGTAAAATTTGGAAAGAAAAATGGTAAACACAAAAACTAAAAAGAACAAAAAAACGGAATTACGAGCCAACATGTCGGTAATTACATCATGAACAAGTTTTCAGAGTTCTGGTGAGACTTGGTTCCAAAGATAAATTTGAGATACCATGGCTCCCATGTTTTCTCAAAAACACCATACATGCAGAATATGAAATGATATGTTTTGTGGTAACAATCGCAAGCAATTTTATTTACAGAGATAGTATAACTATTTCAGTAACAGGGAACGAATAAATTTCAATTACTCTACATATAGCTTAATTTTTGAGTTTATTGTTTGAGTTCAACTAATAATTAATCTTTAGTCAAGGCTAAGTCAGTGACCCGTCTTCTGTGAGCCCAAGAAGTTCACTGAACAAAGTCTTGACTGATAAGGGCCATCTGTATGATGACGATCCTTCTAGAACAAGTTCAGTTGATGCTTTCTCATCCAAAAGAGGCATTCCATGTTGAACTCCACTCTTTCTAGGATCATTACCTTCCTTTTTTCCAATCTCTGTTGATGCTAAACTGTTCAAGTAAGGCACCACATGCTTCTTCATGTCGCTCGTGGAGATTCCGAGATGACCTCCTGGAACACTGATGTACTTAACCCTTCCAGCTTCATCCAAGGCTCTCAAACCGATCCAGTCCTCCTTATAGAGATTGGTCTGCATAAAAATAAGCGAAAGCTAAGATGACGTTTGTGCTTAATGCATAAAAGCAAATCTTGTAACGCATCCCACTTGAATTTACTGTTAAGTGGCAAAAAGAAATAAGTAACTAAACCATCAGCAAGGCTACTCGATTTTAGCGAACATTAATATGTAAATAAATACTCAGTTTAACAATAATAGTATTAGCATTATGGAATTACCTGTCGTGGACTTAAAATTGATTTAAAGGTATCATCTTGGTAATAACCAAACCATGAGGTCTCCTTAGGTATCAAAACAGTGTCATGCTCAAACTGCAGAAATACAAAATTAACATGGACAAAAATGAATCTAGAAAGAGATTGAAGAAATGTTACGCTCAGAAATATGTATTTTATAACTTACCATGATAAGCACCAGGTTCTCTAAGCTACTAAACCTTTCCTTGAGAGTGGAGTTTTTCCCATCCGGTCTTTCGTTGTTGAGCATTGGAAGAAACTTACATTTTTCTAAATAGTCAGCCATTGCCTGTGAAGAAATTGTTGATCTGGATGCTTAGGTTTACAGCTATTGTTAAGCAAACAGAGATTTAATCTTAGGTGAAAAATTACAAGTGGCATATATGGCTTTTGTTGTAGTATGAATGGACACTTGAGAGCATGAAAACTACTACATCAAATGAAATTTATCCCAAGTTTATCCCAGAAAACACAAACAACATTTTGAAATTAATCTATAAGCCAAAAATTGAAAAGGAAAACAAAAGCAGGCTATTAATTTCAGCAAACTTATAACTGCAAGGTTATTTGTATATACGTATAACATAACAATATGCAGTAAAAGCCTCATTAAAATGTCTCCTAGTGCTTTACTTTTAGCCACTCACATTTGGTAATTTAAGATAACCGCTGGGAGCCAAGTGAGCCTGCAATTCCAGAATTGGTTCAAATGGTCAGGCCTCATCAGAAATATACCTAGGAGATTGAAAGTTGACACCAGAATGGAGACAAAAAGAAAGAATCGGCAGAAATAGATGCATACTTGGATATAGTCAGAGTAGATCTCTGATTTGAGTAGCTGGTTTGCAATAATGCAAAATATACCAGACTGCAGAAAGACAAAAGCAAACACAAAAGCTGTTGAGCAATATCAACATATCTCAAAAGAGGTCACACATTATTTTTAACTAAACCTTTAAGCGTTAGAGGTTTCTTATGAGTGATAGTTATCTACTCTATGATCATTATGATTTGAGACATCTTAAGGGTAACCTTCGGACAATTAGGTAGAAAACCAGAATAATGAGATCTTTGCATTGAAAATTCCACTCTTAAGTGGACTATGATACAACATGTTTTCAAACTATTCTTATCTTCTGCGATTGAATGAACGATGTAGGAAATGATACTTGCTGCAGCCATTTGTGACGAAGTACTTAGAAAGTGCTAGTCCAACTATAAAAGCATAAATTTCTCCAAATGTGTGTCAATTGTACCTAAAATTTACAAACTACATTTAACAACCCCAAGCTTCTCCCAAAGGCCCAGGCTATTGGGAAGAGGCAACATCAAGCTCATATACCATACTATGGTGTAGTTTGTAAGAATATGGATTCTACACTGCATGTCCGTCCAATTGTGGTTTATATGTACTCTCCTAACCAGAAGAAATCTCAGTGTGACAAAAGCATTTGTATAAGGACCGATCAAAATTCCAAGATGATAGTATGATACTTACACCACAAAGAGGCACCGAAGCAGTACCCGCATGAGGTCCTCCCAAAGAGATAAAATTCTTAACCTGTTTCAATAATTGAAAAAGCAAAAAATTTTGATATTGGTAAAGTCCACAGATGTGAGGAAATAAAACAACCACTTACGCAATAAATGTGCATTAAGAAAAAACAAACAATGATACGGAGAAAGACCTGTAAATCTAATGGAGCATTTCCCTATAGACTAAGACCATACAAAAATGTGCTTGCTCTTATTTACTACCAAAGGAACTGTATTTTATATGGATAACATAAGGAGTACAGAGTAGTACGCGATTCCATAGCTGAATGTATCGACTAATGAACTTCGCATAGCTAACACACGCAACTAAACTAGTAGTTTTAAATGCTTTTCGAGCTACAATGGTATAAGAAAATCATAAAGAACTTAAAACACCATTTGTTATACATTTCAAACATGTTATAGACAGCTTAGCTCAATATGTGTATGATAACTGAAGTTTAATTAATTATAATAACTACTGATGTAGTTGGTTGAAAGACAGATGAAAAAACTTGGAAATATCAGAGTTTACTAAACTGAATCTTACAGGAGGTCCACCGATGCAAAATTCTACAACACCTCGGCCAATCAAATTACCCTGTTAAATTTAGAAAAGAAAAAAAAGGTATGAGAAAGAATCAATTGATTGCAATTATTTGAACACATATGAATACACGCAATATTTATGTTTGTAAGCTATAATAAACTAATTCACTCATAAGCATTGGGGATTGAGAAAACAGTCTAACATGAAAACCAACAACATGAGAAAATTCAAAAACCGGAAAAAGAAAAGAAAAGAAAGTAACAACAGATCATCCCGCCTAAACAAGCAAAGCCACAAGTCAAAGGCTTGAAAGATATTTGTTTCTGTTCGTTCAGCTAAAGAAATGAAAATTCATAAAGTTTCAATATGCCCAGCGACCAGCAGAATGAAAAATATTACAGAATATATAGTTCTGCAAACCAAGAATCAGTTGGGTGAGGATGGTGATTAATAGCACCTGTAAGGAGTCATTTGATTCAAAGTCAATGTGCTAAGAGAACCATTGATAAACAATCACAAATAAGCAATGGAACAAGGAAGAAAATTAGGCGGATGAGGCAAGAAAAGACTTAATGACATATATTACTAAGAGTAACCAATGAGGAAGGAATTCAAGAAGCTATTCTGGTTCTGGGGACTTGATTTCCGGAATCACCATTTTATTCATGAGTATGTGGCCATGAATATTAGGTATCAGTTCCATTATCTTATATGCTACATAAGTATGACAAACTTGAAAAACCCTTTCATGGGACATAAATCAAATGATCACTTTTTTCTGAGAACGTGTGAGGCTGCATGACTTAAGGCAAGAGAGGCCTTCACAAATCTGCGAGGCCATTTTTATTAGGTATTAGGGCATGCACTAAGGAAAATACATCATTTGTACCGTGCTAAAGAACACTTAATATGGAAATACAGCCTTGTTTCACACACGCATATACTAAGAAGACAACTAGATGTAAAATTTGAACATGATAAGCTCACTTCATCTGTTAAAAGAAACATGCGCGACATCATTAGCTGAGATGGAAACTAAAAAATAGCTTACTTCTATGTATGAAATTACTTCTACTCAGAAAGTCTCACCAGTTATTCCGACACATAAGCAAACACATTTTAAGAAAAAGGATTGAATTTAAAGGTTTGTGAATGTGCCCCTATGTAAATCAATAAACAACTTGGAGCATACTGTATTACAGATATAGGTGCCAAACGGAAAGATCCAATCATGATAATACCTGGGAGAGACCAACAATGTTGTAACCTTGTCTCAGTTCTTCCATTTCTTTTACCTGTAGTTGTAGTGGGGAACACAGTCAAAGGTAACAAAAACTTCAAAAGCCAGACCAGCAATATATACTAACGTAGAGAGCATTATTACCTTGTCACAAACAATTCTGGTCTGCAAACACATACAAAAAGTCAAATTACAAGTGAACATAAAAATTACGTCTAAGATGACAAGTCTTGTTTTTCCAGTTTTTAGTTTTAACCTGTTCCTCAAGAGGCAGAAACCAGGAATCCCATGTTCCATCGCCAACTTCTCTGAAGGAAGGCAAAGGCAAGCAATCTCGTTACACATGGAAAAACACAAAGATGCTCCTAAAACATTTATAAAATAAAAAAAATAAAAAAAACGTGTAAACAACTATAAGGGTGCACTTCTCAGTTGGCATACTACCAAGAATCTTTAAAAACAATGAAGTGCCATATTTTATCATCTTGTTCTATAAAACTCAAGTGGGCAACAACATATGTCAACACAAAACTTATAATCAGAATTTGGATCAGGAAACAATATAAGAGTTGTTAAGAGAAATGTCATGAATGAACTGTTAGCAATTATCTCTAGCAGGATTACATATATCAGTGGCAAAAAACAAACAGATTTGGGTGAAAAAAAAAAAAAAAACTGCACCATACATGCAATATCCTTCAGTAGCAGAAAAGTTCCTCAGTTCCTCTGTAAACTGTTTAACTCCTCGATTAGAGCACTGATCTCCAATGCCTGCCATGACGAAGCATTAGGACTGGAGTAGAGAAAGAGCATATGAGTACAATGATAAATAATGATAAGAGAACAGGATGAAATACGCCAAACATATAAAAGGAGGCCAAAAGAAGTACTACAATATCATGCGGCAATTATAAGGGATAGAGTGCATAATCCAATTGGTAACACTTTCAGAACTGAAATCATATCGCCACAGTATCAACCTTCTTAATTTCAGTTTTTTTCTTGGTGATGATTTTAAAAAATGACGACCTATTTTTTTCACTCTACTGCTAAGTCAAAAACAGTAAAGACACAGAAAGCAATTTGCTTTCTTTTCTCAAGTATGTTCCCTTAACGTTGCTGCAGAGAGGATACAACATAGGAAAAACCTATGTCATTATACTCTTAAGTGGAAAAGGTACGTTGATATACAGGGTCTTAATTCTTTGATCTGTAATCGTCGTAACGGGTTAACTAGTGGATATGCTAGATTTCTGTTTCTATAAAAGCACATAAAATTCGAGTTGCAGAAAATAAAATTCACTGGAGATCACTCGCTTCAGGAATTTTTTTCCACACTAAGATTAAATCCACGCATAGACATACTGACATTTTGGATAGTAGTGTCTACATGAACATCTTTAAGAACATGATAATAATCAAGTTCCCATTAGTTCTTCAAATCTTTTCTAAATAAAGCATATTTCAACAACCCATTAGTCAACACTTGGATAATCATCATATCCAGAAAATAATAACAACCAAAACCCAGAAAAATTATCAATAACCCAGATGCAAAAACAGATTCATCAAACAAAATACACATCTTTAAATAGAAAGAAAAAGAAAAAAGCTGGCAACAATGAAATAGGGAGCAGGAAATTACCATGAAGCACGATGAATGGTACGGAAAGTGAACTTGGGATGGATATGATGAAGGCCAAGATGAAGATGAAGTCAATGGAAGGGGAAGTGAAGTCCATGATCTTGTGGGTTGTTGTCTGTCAAAATTCCTTTTTCAAAAATAGGAAGAACAAAATATAAAGAAATAAATATATGTGTTTATAGTAATAGTAACGGTTGGTTGTTGGTTGTTGGTGTGTGAGTGGTAGAGAAGAAGCAAATAATATCACGGAGGCACGCGAGTAAGAGGAGCGACCGCTACTATTGGATCTTCTACTGGCTGTTTCTTTGCCCGAATTTATTGATAAACATCTTCTGCTTTGCTTCTTGAAGTCGCCAATTGGGTGATTAATTTGCCAAAAACAAAAAAAAGAACCAAAAAAAAAAAGTCGCCAATAATAGTATCAGTCAGACTGACAGTGTCATTACATAAAAGTCGGAGATGACGCGGTGATACCGTACTATTCTATAATTCTCTGTGTGTTAGTTCTTTTTTCTTTTGGTCTTTGACTTAGTTTTTATTTTTGTTTTTCCCTTCTAAATAATGGAAAATCTTATCTTATAAGATAATAAAGAGCCCTTTTGTCCCCCACCTAATGAACAATTCTGCATTTTTAATTTCAAAAGGTAAAGATACCATTGTGATTATCCTATTGCGATTTTAGCTTGGTTTGGAATCCAGTTTTGATGCAGGTGATCTTGAGGAGGTGAAAGGATACAATAGTGGTGACAACAATGAAATCTATTTTGTTTTCTGTGAGACTCTTAATTTGTTTTATGTACTCTGATTTTGTGACATTTGAATAATTATACTTTTGTTTAAATTAATGAATTCTGTTTCAGCTTTTTGTCTTAAACAACTTGTTCTTTAAACCTAATACGCCTTACGTCTATTGAGAGCGCAACGTTTTTGTGTATAGTCTCTCAGACATTATAACTTTGTATTTTCAATGAGATGTGATGTTGTGACATATCCATTGGCTAAGGCCTAGGAGGGTGAACTGACCCTTATACCATTTTAAGTTTCTTCTTTGAAAGAACATTTTGACCATTCTAAAGTGTTTTCGACCTGTCTATGATTGGCACTTTTCTACTCGTAGCACATCCATCTCACAAAATGGTGTTTTCATCTTCTTTATTTCATATTATAAGGTCTATAGTTTAGATATCATGTATTTAGATCTATGGATGATTCCATAATTTAGAAATATGATTTATTAACTTTCCTTTTTGCTTTTAGGTAGCTTGCGTTACAACGTGATTATCATAATTGTTTAAGGTTGATCCTCTTTAACAAAATTTCTGGCTACGCCATTGAACATACCCATATTGGAGGGTGATAAGTTGAATCCTCGCAAGGTTTATTCAGTTTTTTCTTTTGTCATAAGTTGAATCCTCTCTTATTTTTCATTTTAAATTAGATACCTTGCCTAATTAGTGTAAGGTTTATTCATCAGAGTTTTCTTTAGTGATAAGTAGAATGATTTTCACTTTGGACTTTAGAACATATGTGACCATATTTTTTCTAACAAGATAGTGAATATAACCTGGTGTAGAAAAATAAATGAGGATAGTATATTTCTAAGACAAAATATTAATATGAAAATTGAATTATGCTCCATCGGAATAACGTAACTAAAATACGATAGTTATCATGTTATAAAAAAAATAAAAAAAATTGAATTCACATAAACAAACAATGCATTCGTGAGATGATATTCTAATGTGCAAAATGCAAATTGTGTTACATTAGAAAAAATATAAGGCTGAGCCACCAAACGAGGCAAAAAGAGGAAGAAGATGATAAATTAGGGTGGTTGCCCTCCTTCTCTCTTTATTTATTTTTTCTTTATTTCCAAGTTTAAGAACCAAAATATGATTATTATTTTTTCCTTTCTAGTGTTACCTTTGGCATATCTGAAATGAGATTGGGTGTGGGAATTTTAAAGTATAGCAGAAGGGGTATCCAAAGATATCTCTTGGGTGTCCAGCGAAGCCCTTTGAAATTCTGTGTAATTGCCTAACCCCGTAAGGAAGGTATAGGCCCAATCTTGTTAGTGCAGGTTTGCTTTGCTTTGCTTTGAAGCTTTGGACTCTGCTTTATCGTTGTTGACTTTGTCAGGTCAGGTTGGGACAAATTCGTAGAAAATGGCCTGAGCAAACTTCAATTTTGTGCAGAAGTATAACAGAAATTTCCATTTCTCAAGTCCTCGTTCTTGCTTTTTTGCTTTTGCTTTTGGGTTTTTATTTAGAGCACTTGTTCCAGCTGCGTAGATACAGAGAGAGAGAGAGAGAGAGAGAGAGAGAGAGCTGTTGGTGACAATTGGAGTGGCAGAGAGCCCATTGAAGAAGAGGGTCCACGCAGCCATTCGATTTTTCACTTCCTGGGTTTTCTTCCTAAGCCGTCAGCTCCTCCCTCATAGCGATGATCTCAGGTATACTTCTTTCCATGAATTTTCAATTGACTAATTCGTAATTATGATAGATTTCTCTTTCATTTTTTGTTTGATCAAATTTATCCAGTTCAGAACAAGCATGCAAAATGTTGTACTAGGAAAAATCTGATGCAAAATTTCAAGTTGCAGAACTTTTCATTTCTATTTCCTGTTGCAGAGCGTTTAATTTCTATTTCCTGTCAAACTATGAGCGTTTTGGGGAGGAGGAATTCTTATTTGGAACTTGTATCATGTCAAAATTTCAAGAGAGATACAGGATGGGGAGACATTAAAAAACATTTGGTCTTTTGATTTTCACTCACTTTGATATATTGTCAAGAAACCATAGCAGATTCCGTGACATGTTGTTGCATATCCTTTCATTATAGCTGGAATTTGTCGCCAACTTATCGAGTTTGATCAAGGATGGGACTATATCCAGAGTATGCTGACAAAAATAAAGAGGATTTTAGAAGGATTACCGGAGCCTCAGTTCAGCTCGGTAGAATATATGAACGTTTACACAACTATCTACAATATGTGTACCCAAAAGCCTCCTCATAATTATTCTCAACAGCTATATGATAAATATAAGGAGGCATTGGAGGAATATGTAACCACAACGGTGTTGCCCTCTGTAATAGAGAAACACGACGAATTTATGCTGTGGGAGCTTGTGAGAAGATGGGCAAATTATAGAGTTATGATTAGGTGGTTGTCAAACTGTTTTAATTTTCTTGATCGCTTCTTCATTCCTAGGAGATCACTTCTTAGCCTAAATGACGTTGGACTTACATGCTTCCGCGATTTGGTTTATCGAGAGATAAATGTTAATGCCAGAGTTACCGTAATTGGTCTTGTTGATAAAGAACGTGCTGGAGAGCAGATTGACAGGGCACTAGTGAAGAATGTGATAGATGTATTTGTTGGAATTGGAATGGGACAAATGAATACTTATCAGGAGGACTTTGAGGAACACATGCTGAGACATGCTGGTGAATACTATACTCGTAAAGCATCAAGTTGGCTTTTGGAGGATTTTTGTTTTGATCACTTGGTGAAGGCTGAGGAATGCTTGAGAAGGGAGAGGGCTAGAGTTTCTCATTACATGCATTCAAGCAGTGAGCAAAAGCTGGTGGAAAAAGTGCAACAGGAGTTGTTTGAACCTCTTGCTAATGTATTTAAACAGAAAGTTAGCGCTGAAGTTAAAACCCTGGTCCAACAGGCTGAATATGCAGCAAACAACCAGGCTTCTGATAGAGCTTCTGGCATGCTGGAACAGGTCCTTGTCACAAAAATGATCGAGCTTCATGATAAGTATATGGCACATTTCGAAGATTTCTTAATAAAAAACTCTATCTTTCACAAGGCTCTGAGAGAGGCGTTTGATGGATTTTGCAATAAATCTGTTTCCGGGAATTCAAGTGCTCAATTACTTGCTGCATTCTGTGATGATATCCTCAAAAAGGGTGGGAGCCAGAAGTTGAGCGATGATGCCATAGAAGGAATGCTTGAAAAGGTTGTTAACTTGCTTGCTTATATCAGTGACAAAGACCTTTTTGCAGAATTCTACAGGAAAAAACTTTCTCGCCGGCTACTTTTTGATCAGAGTGCCAACAAGGAACATGAAAAAAGTATTCTAACAAAGATGAAACAGCAATTTGGTGGACAGTTCACCTCAAAGATGGAGGGAATGGTCACAGATTTGACATTGGCTCGGGACAATGAGACCAGCTTTGAGGAGTATCTTCACAGTAACACAAATGTAAATCCTGGGATGGATTTGACCGTCACCGTTCTTACAACTGGTTTCTGGCCAAGTTATAAATCATGTGATCTTAGCCTACCTGCAGAAATGGTGAAATGTGTTGAAGTCTTCAAGGGATTCTATGAAACGAAGACGAAATGCAGAAAAATTAAATGGATTTACTCATTGGGCACTTGCAACATTATTGGCAAGTTCGAGCCAAAAGAAATCGAATTGGTTGTGTCAACCTATCAGGCCGCTCTCCTGCTACTTTTCAATAGCGCTGATAAATTGAGCTATTCAGAAATACTAGGTAAGTTAAACCTTACCCATGACGCAGCTGTTCGAATCCTTCATTCGCTTTCATGTGCCAAGTACAAGATCCTTATTAAGGAGCCTAATGCAAAGACTATCTCGCCAAATGACGACTTTGAGTTCAACTCCAAATTCACTGACAGAATGAGAAGAATTAAGATTCCTCTCCCACCAGTGGATGAAAGGAAGGAGGTGATCCAAGATGTTGACAGATTCAGGCGATATGCTATTGATGCTGCAATCGTGCGGATTATGAAGAGTCGGAAGGTTTTGGGTCATCAGCAATTAGTTATGGAGTGTGTTGAGCAGTTAAGACATAAATTCAAGCCTGACATGAGAGCAATTAAGAAGCAGATTGAAGATCTCATCGTCCGTGACTACCTGGAGAGGGACAAGGAAAATCATAACATGTTCAAGTATCTTGCATGATTCAAGTGTTGGACTCTTCATATAACTTCTTGCTATGTGCTGGAACCAGTAGAAGTACATGAATTATAATTTGTTTTAGAGAGTGATGTTAAACTTGTCATCTATAGGCATCAAGATGCAGGCACAGCTTCTGCTTCGTTTGCTATACTTAAAGAATTTGTAAGTTACAGAGAAATGGTCTCAAATAATACTTGTGGTTTTACGACACAAAAAGAAGAGAAAAACAAACCCAAGAATATCCCCTAAACAAATGGTTGTTAAAGATCATGTCCTAGTTTGCCAAAGCATCTGCCTGCGCCCAAAATTCAAAATTCCCCATTAGACCAATAAGATATCATATTTTATTATTTTGAGAAAAACTATAGTATGATGCTCATGTATTCCACAACTATGTATTGTTTAATTTAATTAAACTATGATTTAGAGACAATATTTAAAAAAAAAAATATTTTAAAACATTTAAAAAGGTTTTAAATAAATAAATAAAAAATAAAATTTCAATCAATGGTTCTGACCTCCAATGATCAGAAACCAATTATATATATTAAAAATAAAACAAATTAAAAAACATTTAAAAAGGTTATTAAAAATAAAAATAAAACCCTAATGACTAGCTGACGTCATCGATAATGTCAATGCACCTTTAATATTGGCTGTTGGATTTGCAGTTGCATGAAATGTTTCGTGCTCTTGCATACGCGTGATACTTTCTCTTCATGGAAAACACATGCTTTGGGCCCACAAAGGCCTATGCCAAAGCTGGGCCATATTTGGCCTGGTTGGAGGACTAAGAACACTTCCATTCATTTGTCATGGCAAAAGGCAAAGAGAGTCAATGGCTATTACTATTCACGTGAATAGTAGTAACCCTTGCAAAAGGCTTGTGGTGTTTCCACCCATTGCCATGACAACCACTATTCACATGAGATATGAGGAGAGGAATTTGTATAGAGTTTTGGTGTGGGAAGTGAAAAATATGACTAAGTATTTATTTTAAAAAAATTCTGAAATTTGTAGTATTTTTTTAAGATTTTTTTTTTTTTGTTTCTGACATCAACAAACCCATACTAGAGCAAGGGCTGGTTTTGCCTGAGGGCCGGCCCAGGCTTGTGGAGCCCACCAATAGCCCTGGCAACGTTTGTCTGCTGGAAGCCCGTTTTGGGCCTAAACCCCCTTTGCCCGGGGTCGTTGGAACTGCTCTAAAAGGCCAAATGTGGCCCTCTAAATTTGACCAAAATTTCTTTTAGCCCATGGTTGGAGATGAGTTTGTATTATTTTAGGGTTATATTTGGCATATGGCCCATGACTGGAGATGGCCTTAGTATTAGAATTCAAAATAGGGCTTTCCATAAATAGGCCCATTCTAACATGACATAATATACAAAAACCCTTATGGTGCCTGTTTGAAGAGAAAAATCCGAAACTCGACACTTGTCACTTTCTAATTGGTTATTAGTGTATGAAAATTTTCGAAGAACCAATGAAAAAAGGCAAAAAGTCACTTTTGGTCCTTGTAGGTTGCCACTTTAACCACTTTAGTCCCTATAGTTTCAATTTGATCAATTTTGTCCCTGTACTTTCAATTTCGAGCAATTTAAGGACAAAAGTGAATTTCTGTCAAATTGTATGTAACTTATGTTAGTTTTTTGTCATGTGCCCCTCACGTGGAGGGGCAATTTTGTCTAATCATGCGCAGCTTAAGGTCTGCCTAGTTACCTTCCCTATATTCCAAATTAGACTTTGGGGATTTTTTGGGTTGGGTTGGTCAAATTTTTTGATTCCTAGGTTTAGAACTGGTTGAATTCATATGATTTTCTTCTTATTGTTGCTCCAAAACCCCACCCATTCTTCAGAGTGTTCAAAGTTATGACAAAAAATGATGGCAAGACATAAAACAACAAGAATCAAATAAGTTGTAAGTCGACTTATTGCTCTACAATCTTACTCTCCTCCACCAATTTCTCCTCTATGTAGTTGATCCAACTACCCCCCTTCTTTCATGGATTTCACTTCCCCAACACTCTAAGCACCTGTCAACCTCGCCAACACCACAAACCCTCCTTCAAAATTCATATCCATTTTCTTCCTCAGTTTTTGTTTTGGTTTCATTCAACAACCAACCAAACCCAAAAGCACGAATAAACACCAGCCAACACCAAAGTAAACATCAATGGCACACAAACACAAAAACCCAAAACTGAAAACATCCACAAAGCCAAAGGGTGTTAACCACGTGTTTTAGTTAAGAAACTATTAGTTCATCGTGTGCAGCTCACATGCTCTCTGTGAGGTTTGTTAGTGAGAGTTATAGCTGTATTTGTTAAGTTTGTTAGCGTGATAATAAGAGATAAGCACTGTACTAAAGCTGTGCTTTTACCATTCGTTTTACACATAATCAGAAATACATAATTACAAGGCTATTTTCTTTCTTACATTATCTCTTCTTTATTATCTTGAAATCCCTAAATCTCATCCTCTTCTTCTTGTTAAGATGATATCAGAGCCCATCGTGGCTTGACACTTTCGATCCGCTTCTGATTTTCTGATTTGTCTATTCGATGTGCTCTTCTCTTGCTCTGTCTCTATTGTTCTTTCATCTTTTTTGTTTTTCTCTATTTTCTGTTCATCAATGGCGACTTCCTTTTCTTCCTCTTCGATCAAAATTGACAGTTTGCTTAGGATGATTACTCTTCGTCTCAAAGACGATAATTTTCTCAAGTGGAGTTTTCAATTGGAATCCATTATTCAGGGTTATGATCTTTTTAAGCATTTTGACGGAACTGATGTTGCTCCTCCTTGCTTTGCTATTGTTGATGAGGAAGGTGTTACATTTGAAGTTACTGTTGCTTACAAGGAATGGATTCGCACCGATAAGGCTTTACTCAGTTTGCTTATTGCCACTCTCTGATGAGGCCATCGAGTATGTGTTTGGCACCAAGACTGCTCGTCACGCCTGGTTGAGTCTTTCCGATCGTTATGCGTCAATTTCTAGGGCATGAATCAATCATTTGATGACTGAATTACAGACGGCCTAGAAGGGTGAAGATTCGATCGAGCGTTTTCTCTTGCATCTGAAAATGGTCCGTGATCAATTAGTTCAAGCTGGGGTTAAGGTGTCTGACGATGACTTTATGATTGCGACTCTTAATGGCCTCCCTTAGGAAAATGACATGATCAAGACGGTTTTGATTGCAAGGGATTCTCCAATTTCTTTGAAGGATTTTCGTGCTCAATTGCTGGCTGCAGTGCAAACTGCAGAAGCTCGATTGGTTCCTTACTCTGCTATGTTCGTTACTTCTTCTTCTTCATCATATGCTTCTGTGAATGTTATGTGCCCTTCTAATTCCGATATGGGTTTATTGCCTACTCCATCTTCTTTACCAGTTGCCTATATGGGGTCCTATGATCATTTTGTCTTGCCTTCATTGGATTGCAATTCTGGTTCAAGACCTGTTCTTGGTAACAATGGTGGTTTTAGTCGTTTTAACAATCATCAGCATCACGGTATTGGCAATAGTCAGCATGAAGGTTTTTCTGGTTTTACTAATCATGTTGGTTCTATAAAAGGCAGATTTGAAAGCAGAGCCTCTACTCATCTTTCTCAAGAAATTGATTTGGTTCCAATTCTTTTTAGAAATCTGCAGTTGTTCCTGAATGTCAGATATGCAGCAAATGGGGTCACCCAGCTACTAACTGTTATTTTTGCCATAAGGCAAGCTTTTCTAGGCATGGATCTCAAGTTATTGAATGCCAAATCTATGGTAAGAGGGGTCATAGAGCCTTGGATTGTTTCCATAGATCCAACTATGTCTATCAGGGTCAAGCTCCTCCTTCCAACCTTTTGGCTATAACTGCCCAAGCTTCCTATGTGCTTGATCAGGTCTGGATTGCAGATAGTGGGGCTTCACATCACATGGTGTCTGATATTTCCTCATTAAATCATGTTGCTCCTTGTGAATCTACAGAGCAAGTGATTGTTGGTAATGGAGAAGGTTTGAAAATTAAACACATTGGCACTACTGCCCTTGCCTATGCTTCTACTTCTCTTAAAATGCCATCAATATTTCATGTTCCACATTATCTGCTAATCTCTTGTCTATGCATCAGCTGTGCAAAGATACTAATTGTGTTATCAGCTTTGATGTTTCTGGTTTTGTGATACAAGATCAAGTCACCAAGACAATCCTTCTAAAAGGTGAGAGTAACAACAGATTGTATCCTATTCCTTCTTATGTATCTTTTCATTGCCTGCCCAAGAAAGTAGCTTTGCTTGGTCAACATGTTAAGTCTTCCATTTGGCATCACAGACTTGGCCATCTAACAAATGAAGCGGTGCAATTAATGCTTAAAGCCTCTAGTTTGTAGTGTGCAAGTGATTCCTCCAATTCGAATCCCTTGTGTTCAGCTTGTCTTCAAGGGAAGATGCATCAACTTCCATTTCCCATTAGCCATAGTAGGTCTGAAATTCCCTTTCATATAGTTTATAGTGATGTATGGGGACCTTCCCATTACAAATCTGTTGAGGCCTATAGATATTTTGTTTCTTTCCTTGATGAATGTACTGGCTATTTATGGGTTTATCCACTTTTTATTAAATCAAAAGTTTTCTCCAAATTCCTACAGTTTCATGCTTTGATACAAAATCAGTTTAGTGCTGCCATTAAGTGTTTTCAGAGTGATGGTGGTGGTGAGTTTCTTAGCAAGGGTTTTATAGATTTCTTGGGCTCTAAGGGAATTGTGCATCGTTTGTCTTGCCCATATACTTCGCAGTAGAATGGACTGGCAGAGCGGAAGAATAGGCATATTATTGAAATAGCCATTACATTGTTAACTGCAGCAACCTTACCAGGTCAATTTTGGTTTCATTTCACTGCTCATGTTGTGTATCTTATAAATTGAATGCCCATTTCTGTATTACATAATTAGTCTCCTTATTTTCGTTTATTTGGCCATCATCCTGATCTTGCTTCTTTGAGAATATTTGGTACTGCGGTATATCCGTATCTGAAACATTATAATGTGCATAAGTTACAACCTCGAACCACTCAATGTATGTTCTTAGGATATGCGCCTGGATA